AAATTTTTTTATTGTATTTCAGGTGAAGGTTTACAGAGCAAATAGATTCTCATGAAACAGTAGTACACATATTGTTTTATGACATTCGTTAACAACCCCATGACATGTCAACCCTCTCCCGTCTCGACCTTTTTTCTTTTTTGGTGAAAATATACATAGTCAAAGATACACCGTTTCAAAAATTTCTACATGCATAGTTCAGTGACATTGACTGTGCTCTTACAGTTGTGCTGTTATTCTCACTTTAGATGCGGGTTTACAGAACAAAGTAGTTTCTCATTAAACAGTTAGTACACATGTTGCCTTATGACAATGGTTAACAATCTCACAACATATCAGCACTATCATTACTCAACCTTGGGTTCCCTATCACCAGCTTTCCTATCCCCTTCTGCCTTCTAGTCCTTGTCCCTGGACTGCTGTGCTTCATTAGTCCCATTTGGTGTTATGGGGCTGTCCACTCCCCAGCTGAACGGTGAACCTTGGAAGTGACTTCACCACTGAGCTAAAAGGGTGTCTGGGGGCTCTACTCTCGGGGTTTTTCCAGTCTCCTTCAGGGCAGTAAATCTGGTCTTTTTTTATGAGTTAGAATTTTGTTCTACATCCTTCTCCAGCTCTGTCCAGAACCCTCTGTTGTGATCGGGGGCCAGGCTTTAAAGAATAAGCCCAAGCCTTTCAGTCAGTCCTGCATTTGAATTCTGTCCAGTTAGCTACTAGCTCCATGGCCTTATATAACCTCTTTAAGCTTCACTTTCTTTGTCTTTAGAATGGGGATAACAACCTTCACTGTTTTGTGAAGATCAAGTGAGATGATGAGTAAATTGCCTAGCTTGGCATGTTGTAGGTACTTGCTTTGTTTCCATTTTCACGTTAAAAGAAGACCACTGGACCACGTACCCTAGCAGAATCTTTTATATTCATTAAACCTTCAAACAACTCGTCCGTCATGAAGATAACACCAATTTTTTTTTTTCCGCTTTAGTATCTGAGACTCCTCCACCATGAGGTTAGCAGGACCTGTCATGTGTAACTGTGCCAGTTGGCTATTTCCCTGGCCCTCAGAAATGGTCTCTTCCACGCCAAATAATCAGAGAAACTGTCTACTTCTCTCATTCTCTTTTGCCATTCTTCACTGACAGATGAGCTTAAAACCTTATGTATAGTAAGTCTATCTTGGATCTTACGTAATCTCAATGCCATTATCACATCTAACAAAATTAATGATTCCTAGTATTTTCTAATCTCAATTGATATTTAAACTTCCCCATTTGTTCCCAAAATGTATTTTACATCTGGTTAATTTAAACCAGGATCTAATTAAGAACTTTTGATTGTGTTTGGTTGTTGTGTTATTTAAGTCTCTTACAATCTTATACAGCACCTTTGTTTCCCCTTCTCCCCCATTTTCTCCCAATACATTGATTTATTGAAGAGATGGAGTCAGTTGTCTTAAAGAATATTGCGTTTTTATAATTCTACTTCCCTGGTATCTATTATTCACATAATCCAGGTTTTCTCAACATTGACACTGTTGGCATTGGGGGACTGTCGTGTGCATTGTAGGATGTTCAACAGCATCCCTGGTCTCAACCCACTAGATGTAACAACAAAACTGGCTTCAGACACTGCCAAATGTCCCCTGGGAGGCAGAATCATCTCTAGTTGAGAACTTGCTGAACTAATGTCTTCTTTCTCTTATCTTTTTTGGTAGTTCCACTTCTATCAAATGAACTGCATTTATTAAAAATTCGTTTTCTCAATTATTAGGGTTTCTGAATAGCCATAATAACCACACACAGAACACATAATATCTTAACCAAACACAAACCTCTGAGATACTCGTTGATTATACAGCTTCTTCCAGGTTTAGAAGGTTTAAAAGGGAGTGTAGGATACCAGGGGTTCAGACTGTGTCCTGTACTGAATAGGACATAGGTGGAAGTCTTGCTTTTCTATATCTTTGTGGCCTTATGCCATTGGGATACAAGAGTGTTCGACCTGTTTGTCTCCCTGTTCTCCAGCTCCAAGAGCATCAAGAGGAGATTGAGGGAATGATGAATGCTCTCTTCAGAGGTGTCTTTGTACATCGGTACCGGTGAGTTAATGGACTCCTCTCCATTGAAGCTGCTGGTCCTTGGTTATGGAGTCTGTCAGAAGTGACAAGGCTCCCTCCTAACCCTGTTATGTGATTAGTCCCAGAACTAACACACCTGGAGCAAAAACTCCTAACAACAAGTTTTCAAATTAGTAAGGTTTAGTATATCCGCACCTACAAAGGCTCTTTTAAGCTCTTAAGGAAATAAAATAAGGCATTGCTGAGTGTTCTCCTGCTCCTAATTTGCCTAAGACCTAACCCCCGCACTGTACCCCATGCTCAGTCTTTCTAGGGTTGGAAACGTGGAAGGACAAGAGCAGAGAACCAAAAGGCAGTGCATTTCTAAGGGATGCATGCAGCTTGGCAAGCCTTTTCTAGCTCCTGCTGCTGTTTCATGTGCTGAGGGGAAGGGAGTTTTATGCTGTTTAAAGAACTGGTAGAATTAAGTTAAAAAGAGTATCTATAGTTGTTTCTCACTGTTGCCTAGATTTCAGTCTGACTTTACAGAACCATTCATCCGATTTACCTTTTCTTGAAGTGGAATTTAAACACACACTCTGTTTGGCCAACAGTTAAATGAACTCTCAAAATCAGTTTTTAAAAGGGGGGTAGAAGATAAAGTTGTACGGAGCTGGATCAAGAAAACTTTTCATTTCTTGTATAGTGTAAGTACAGTAGAAGGAGGAAATGAAAGGCATGGTACATGTACTCAGTCAAGAAAAATAGATTCTTTTATGACGGAAATTTATCTGGCAGGATGGAAAATGAGTTGATATGGGCTGATTTATCTCTGTTTCTAGGGATGTCCTTCCTGAGATCCGTGCGATCTGCATTGAGGAGATTGGGTCTTGGATGCAAAGCTACAGTACCTCTTTTCTCACTGACAGCTATTTAAAATATATTGGCTGGACCCTGCATGATAAGGTGGGAATTATCTGTCTCCCTTCCCCCTATTTCCCTCAGATGGTGCTCCAGCTTTTCCTAGTCCTGCCACTTACGTGTTTTACCTAGTAGGATAGGCAGTGGTCACCAGTCAAGTCACTGAATCTCAGAACTTCCCCCAGTACTGGGGAGGAGTGGAATGAGGTAGAAAGAAGAAAGATATACCCAGGAGATAAAATGCCTCGCAACCTGAGGTAGAGAGGAGAAAAACTGTTCCTATGAAAAAGCAGGATAATTATTGATGGATTGGTAATACAAGTGCTAGGGTGGTAGCTAAACAATCCTTTTCAGCATGACTGCTAAATTCTGCTGTGATCCTTTTTTTTTTTTTTAAAGTAACTTGTTTGTTATTTCAGTACAGAGGACATCCAGGCCCAGAATGAGTAATCGAAGAGGAGAGTATGGAGGCCCAGTGGGGATGAACAGAGGAGTAGTCAGTCACATTTCTGTTCTTTTTTCCCCCTCCTCAATAGCATCGAGAAGTCCGTCTAAAGTGCGTGAAGGCTCTGAAAGGGCTGTACAGCAACCGCGAGGTGACTGCACGCCTGGAGCTCTTTACCAGCCGCTTCAAGGTGAAATTGGGACAGTACTCCTTTGCTTGTCTCTTTCTTGTGGTTCCCTGTTCCCCATCTCATATCTTTCCACTTTTATTGTTTTTATGTGTCTATACCAATTCTAGCATCTGTTTCTATACTCTCTTCAGGAATCTCTAAAATTCTGAGAGAACGTGATGTTTAGGAATGGGGAGAATGAGATACTGAACGATGTTCTCCTTCCTGCAGGACCGGATGGTTTCTATGGTCATGGACAGAGAGTATGATGTAGCAGTGGAGGCCGTCAAACTACTAATAATTATCCTTCAGTGAGTCCTGGGAAGTGGGAGGCAAGCATCTTGGGCTTTTACTTTACCAGCATCAAGCCAAACCAAACCCATTGTTATTGAGTTGATTCTCATTCATAGCAACTCTTTATAGGACAGAGTAGAATTGCCCCGTAGGATTCCAAGGCTGAAATCTTTACAGAAGCAGACTGGCGTATCTTTGTCCCGCACACTGGCTGGTGTATTCAAACTACCGACCTTTCAGTTAACAGCTGAGCGCTTTAACCATTTTGCCACCAGGGCTCCTTCAGCATCAAGCAGGCCCTTCCAAAGTTGTATCCCTGTACCTGTCATAGGTTGGCTCTTCCTTATGTACAGGTTGAAAGATAGAGATCATTCCTGAGTTATAAGATTTCCAGGGAAAATTTTTCCTGTCTTCGCTAACTATCCATACTACCCTGTCTTCCACTCATTTAAAAGTTCTTTGTGAGTTATATTCTCATTATTTATTTATTTAGTTTTTTTGTTTCTACTCTCAGTTGTGCTAGAAGATGATCATCCATATCCACATACCCCTTTCTCTTTTTCTCTTGGCAGGAACATGGAAGGAGTGCTGACAGACACGGACTGTGAGAGTATCTACCCTGTTGTGTACGCGTCTAATCGAGCCCTGGCTTCTGCTGCAGGAGAGTTTCTCTACTGGAAGTGAGTAGGGCTGCTTTCATTGTGTTCCTGTAACCCCACCCTCCGTAGTTTTCTTTCCATCATCTGCAGCGCCTCTTCCTAATACCTATTATTAAAGTCTCACTTGGTGTTTCCTTTCCTCTCTCAGTTCCTTGGGGCTTTCTTTAGCCCTGTATCTGTTTTTCCTTTGTACCTCTCCTTGGACCATTTCTTCCCTCCATGAAGATCATTCCACTCCATATTTCCTCCCATGCAGTACCCTTTCCCTGTGTGAATTCCACCAGGCTCTTCTACCCTGAGTGTGAGGCAAGAACAGTGGGTGGAAGAGAACGACGCCGAAGTCCACGCTCCCAGAGGACTTTCTTTCAACTTCTGTTGTCCTTCTTTGTGGAGAGTGAGGTGACATATGGGAAGAGTTGTCTGGGTATTGTGCATGAGACCATCAGGTAGAGAAGGTTGGGGGTGGCACTGTAGGTGGAGTTGTTTAATATGACATCAGTGACTTAATGTGTGCCCTCTTCCGCAGCTCCATAATCATGCTGCTTACTTAGTAGATAGTCTGTGGGACTGTGCTGCGCCTCAGCTGAAGGACTGGGAGAGTCTGACAAGCCTGCTGCTGGAGAAGGATCAGAGTGCGTGCTAATGGTAGCCTGGGGCAGGGGGACCTTTCACCCCCTAGTGTGAAACCAGAAGACTAATATAGAGGCAGCATAGGTGCCATGGATATGGGGGGATCTTGGAAGTGGAGGGTGGCTTATCTGTGATTCTCTGTTTCTGATCCTCCTGGCAACCCAGACCTGGGCGACGTGCAGGAGAGCACACTGATAGAAATCCTAGTGTCCAGTGTCCGGCAAGCTTCAGAGGGTCACCCGCCTGTGGGGCGGGTCACTGGGAAGAAGGTATGGCATGAGGGGTAAGCTGGGTAGGTTAGCAATGCTATATCCAGATAGATGCTGCCCATCCTTATCCTCAGGTCTTGGGTTAGGGTACCCCGTCTTTTGCTCCTCAGAGAATTCCATTCCCAGAAGAAAAAAAAAAATCTAAAGGGAGCTGCTGAATTTTCTTTTCCTTTCTGGGCAGATAAGATCATGGGGAGAAGTGATACACGTACACACCTTCTTGACCCAGTATTTCTCTACATCTTTCCCTACCCCAAAATCACTCTAATTCCAGGGCTTAACCCCTAAAGAACGTAAGATCCAAGCCGATGACAAGGTGAAGCTGACTGAACACCTCATCCCCCTGCTGCCCCAGCTCCTGGCCAAGGTAGAGCTGCCTTCCCCCGCCCAGCACCAAAGAGTGAGCGGGTGAAAGTCCTGATGAGAAATGGGAGTAGGAATTAGCAATATAATAGCTATTAAGCATGTTTCGTTTTCAATCATCACAGTTCTCAGCTGATGCAGAGAAGGTTGCACCCCTGCTGCAGCTTCTCAGCTACTTTGACCTCAAAATCTACTGCACCAGACGCTTGGAGAAGGTGAACAGGGTGGAGAATACATTCCTATACCTTGTTGCTCCACTGCTAGGTAGGGCCCAGGGTTCTCTGGTTCTCAGGAAACTGGGTTCCAGAAAGATCAGTAAGCCTTTCCTTTGTTAGGCATCTTACCCTTAAAGTTTAATGCTTTCAACCCTGTTTCTTATCTCTCCCATCTTCCACCCACCCCCTCCCCAGAACAGTTGTCCTCCCCAGCCCCTGCAACATTGTCTTCTACTTTCTATCTCCAAGCACCTGGAGCTGTTCTTGCAGCAACTCCAGGAGGTGGTGGTGAAGCATGCTGAGCCAGCGGTGCTTGAGGCTGGAGCTCACGCCCTCTATCAGCTCTGCAAGCCCGAGTTCACTTTCTTCAGCCGGGTGGACTTTGCCCGCAGCCAACTGGTGGATCTGCTGACCGACCGCTTCCAGCAGGAACTTGAAGAGCTGCTACAGGTAGGAGCTGAGGCTAAATGATAGGACACCTCAAACTAGAGTGGGAGAGAGCCACAAGAAGGAGAGTATGGATCTATGAGCTCTTGGGAAAATCCTATTATGGGCCTTCTTCCTTCCACAGTCTTCCTTCCTAGATGAGGATGAGGTGTATAGTCTGGCGGCTACTCTAAAGCGCCTCTCTGCCTTCTACAAGTGAGCCACTCCCTTTCCATCTCCCTTTAATATTTCTACTAGAAGCCTGGGGAGTTGATTCCTCACATTCTCTTCCAGTTTAACATTTACCTATCTCCCATCCCCTTCCCCAAAGTGCTCATGACCTGACTCGCTGGGAGCTCTATGAGCCATGCTACCGACTCCTCCGGAAGGCTGTGGATACAGGAGAGGTTCCTCGCCAGGCAAGTAGATAAGTTGGAAACATGGAGGCAAAAGAGGACCCTTTTTTCTAGGTGGCCCACTCTCCTGAGTGGTTCCAATCCTAGGGATGTGGCATGGACAGAGGAGGAGATTATGATGTGCCAGTCCTTCTATTCCACTCTCGGAAGATGGACTTGACTTTACAGTGCCTGGAAACAGACATTCTCTTTGGTTTTCTGGGAGTCAAGGATAATATTGAAGGATTCTAGGAGAATTAAATTTAGGGAGAGGTAGAATTTCTACCCACAATAGAAGTCTCTGAAGATTGTCAAAAATATCAGTTCTTTTCTAGCAGAAAAGGAATCGGGTCTTCTCTAATCTCATTTATACTCTCTTCACTGCTTTTCTGTATTTGTCTGCCTGTCTTTCCCTCTCTCCCCTCCCCTCCCTCCATTTCCCTCCATCTCCTCCCTCACCCCTCATTTTTTGTAATTTTTTTTTCTCTTTTATTGTTTCAGGTGATCCTTCCAGCCTTGACTCTTGTCTATTTCTCCATCCTCTGGACTCTAACCCACATTTCTGAATCAGATGTTTCCCAGGTGGGTATTGGTCTCAGCAGGGGGAAAGGGAGTCAGGGAGCCTGTGTCTTCATCCCTCCCTCTGTCACTGTCTCCACAGAAGCAGCTGTTGAGTTTGAAGGGCAGAATGGTGGCCTTCTGCGAGCTCTGCCAGAGCTGCCTCTCAGATGTGGACCCTGAGATTCAGGAGCAGGTGATAGTTGACTCAAGTGAGAGCAGGGAGGCAAGGATCCCCCTTATGGTCTGAGGAGAACCCATTCCAAAGAGAAAATAGCTATTTCTATCTTGTAAATATTTTTCTTAACCATTCTTTTTTTTCCTCCTAACAGGCTTTTATCTTATTAAGCGACCTACTTCTCATCTTCAGCCCTCAGATGATTGTAGGGGGATGCGATTTCCTTAGGCCCCTTGTCTTTTTTCCTGAAGCTACTCTCCAGTCTGAGCTAGCCAGCTTTCTCATGGACCACGTCTTCATCCAGCCTGGAGACCTGGGCAGTGGTACAGGGACTCTATACCTGGGTCTCAGGAAGGAGTTGGGGTTTGGGCCTGAATCAGGAATATAGGGCAGAAGGCATAAGTCTGATTCTCATCTTTCCTTTCTGTGTTTGTTGGCTTAGGGCCAGGTGATTCGCAGGAGGATCATTTACAGATAGAGCAGCTGCACCGGCGGCGCCGCCTCCTGGCTGGGTTCTGCAAGCTGTTGCTATATGGGGTGCTAGAGATGGATGCAGCCTCAGATGTTTTCAAACACTATAACAAGGTACAGTGAGGCCCTATAGAAATAAAGGAGAGGGGACCAAGTTGGGCACTGCCATGACTTCAGACACTATAAACTATAAACGAATCGATTCTGACTCATAGCGACACTGTAGCACTACAGAAAGAAGGGTGGGATATCAGGTTTAAAGAACTAGGAGGGAAAAGGCATTAGGAGTTTAGTTAGAATGAAGGGACAAAGAGAAGAGACATAGTAGTAAATAAATATGGAGAGAAAGCTCTTAAATAAGAGGAAGAAGTTCATTGGAGGGGAAGTATCTTCTTCTTCCTGTCTGGAAATTTTTTTTTCTCTCAATCGGTCTATGGGATGGAGTAACATAAGGAGGAGGAAGAAAACTGAAAGAGACATCAGGCCTCACAAGATGCCTAGATGTGTATCTTGGTTTCCTGAGCCCTGTTGCATTAATTTCTGTTTACTGAGCACCTGCTGTGTGCCAAGCATCATTCTAGGCCCTAAGGACACAGCAGTGAACAAAACAGACAACACTTCCTGCCTTCTTGAAGCTTTTGTTCTAGTGGTGGGGAGAGAGGCAAATAGGGAAAGTTTCATTGCCAAATGAGAGTAGGCGCTGACAGGCTTGCTGCTCTTCTCCAAGGAATGGGCTCAGGGCAGAGTTTCTGCCTTATTTTCTTAAATTCTGATTTCTTTTGGGCTTTGCATCTGTGGGCTAGAGATGAGGTCTCATCTAAGTTATTTTATGCTCAGGTTTGTTTTTCTCTATCTATGGCGCTTTAGAAGGAGACACAATTAGGGATGTGAAGGAGGAAACAAAATGGGAACAGTCCTTTCCTATGGTCATACGTTATCTTCTCCATTTTCTCTCTTAGTTCTACAATGACTATGGTGATATTATCAAAGAAACATTAACTAGAGCGAGACAGATTGACCGAAGCCATTGTTCCCAAATTCTACTGCTGAGCCTCAAGCAGGTACTCTTTTCTGCCTAGAGTGCCTCAAACCTCTGACATGCCCTCCCTATAGCCTACAAGCTTTTCTGTCCACCCTCAACCTTAAGAGCAGGAACTTTTCAAGTTTATTTTGACTCCTTTACTTTATATAATAAGTTCCTTCATACTTAGTAGACCCTTAGAAAGTATTTTTTTTAACTGAGCAGTATCCATCCCAACCCCATAGAAATTCAGCTATCAGTTAGAACGTGAGAGCACCAACAATAAAGTGACAGGGAATTTCAGTCTCTTTTGCAATTACTACAGCTGTTTTTATTTTTTGTTAACAGCAGGGGTGAAGGCGCTCTTGATGCAGGGGGTCAAGGATGGGACAGTATCTTGGGAGGAAAAAAAGTAAAAGTAGTGTGTGACCTTTTAGAATTTCTGGGCAAAGAAAGGAATGCTGTACTTCTTTATTTCCACCTCATTCTTCCTTTTCCCAAATGGACCCTGTCTGCTGGATACAGTTGTACACAGAACTGCTGCAGGAACAGGGACCCCAATACCTGAATGAGCTTCCAGCCTTCATTGAGATGAGGGACCTGGCCCGGAGGTTTGCTTTGAGCTTTGGGCCCCAGCAGCTACAGAACCGTGATCTTGTGGTCACGCTACACAAGTAAGGAAGTATTAGTTGGAAGTCAAGGTGTTTAGATACTCCTGAGAGGGCTGAGCCAGAAACTATAGAGGGAGAGCTGGGAGTGAGGTCTTGGAGGGAGGATAATAAGCATGTCAAGAAGGAGACAGGTCAGTGGGTGGCTATTCTCTGAGAGACCAGCTGGGGGAGGACGTACATGGACAGGATTCCCTGTCCCTGGGAGGGAAGTAGGAAGGGACTATCTTCCTAAAATAATTCTGTCCAACCAAGGGAAGGCATCAAGTTCTCCTTGTCTGAGCTTCCTCCAGCTGGCTCCTCCAGTCAGCCCCCAAATCTGGCATTCCTGGAGCTCCTTTCAGAATTTTCCCCTCGACTCTTCCATCAGGACAAGCAGCTACTGTAAGTTAGTGCCAGTGCTGGATAGAGATGTGGATTAGGGAAGAAGGGATGGTGAGGGCCCAGTGGCCACTTTCAGCCTCTTCATCCCACCCCTTCCTTAGCCTGTCTTACCTGGAAAACTGTCTGCAGCATGTCCCCCAAGCACCTGGCCATCCCTGGGGTCCAGTCACCACTTACTGCCACTCCCTCAGCCCTCTAGAGAACACAGCTGAGGCTAGCCCTCAGGGCTACCCCCGCTCCAAGAAGAGGCGCATTAAAGGTAAAGTACTGTGTGTGTGTGTGTTATACATATGTGTACATATGCATGTGTGTTGATAACAGGGTAAGGGGCCCTGTTTCCTTTATTGCCACTACTTAGATAAGCAGCATTTATGGCCACTTGCTTCTTTCAAACTTTTATCTTCAGTCAAAATAAAAAATACTTAATGGAGTATTATCGTTAGGGGTGCTCATTTTCTTCAAGGTTTATCATGAAGTATGTTAAGCCAACTAAAAATAGCAAATCTCTTTGAAAAACTTAACGATGAAAACCACAGGATGAACTAAGAAATCTGTATATTTAGAGTGCCCGTCCTTGCCATACTGTATTCCATTTTTCAGATTTTAGAGATTTTTACAGAACTTTCATGATTTTTGCCTTGACATTACCACCGGTCCTATTATTTATCTAAGCCTTTTTCTTTAAACTGATTTTCTTTTTTTTTTTTTTAACATAGTCTTCCCTTTTGAGCAATATGCTAGAAATCATGAGTTTGATGTGCTAGTATATGTTTCTTAATGTACATTAAAAATGTGACTTTGCTATAACATCTTTATTGAGATATAATTCATATACTGTAAAATAACTCTTTAAAATTGTACAATCCAGTGGTTTTTAGTATATTCACAAGGTTGCACAGCCATGACCACTAATTTTTGAACGTTTTCATTACCCGAAAAGAAACCCCATATCCATTAGCTGTTAGTCCCCATTCTCCCCATCCCCCTACTCCTAAGCAAACAATAATCTGCTTTCTGTCTGTATGGATTTGCGTATTCTGGACGTCTCAGATAAATGGAATCATATGTACATGGCCTTGTGTGTCTGACGTCTTTCACAAGGCATAATGTTTTCAAGGTTTATCCATGTTGTAGAAAGCATGGTACTTCATTCCTTTTTATAAGTAAATATTTCCTTGTATGGATATACCACATTTTGTTTATCCACTCATCGGTTGATGGACATTTAGGTTGTTTCCACTTTTTGACAATGATGAATAACACTGCTTCGAACATTCATGTACAAGTTTTTGTGTGGATATATATTTTCAGTTCTCTTGGACAATACATACATAGGAGTGGAATTGCTGGGTCATATGGTAACTCTGTGTGTTTAACATTTTGAAAAACTACCAGAGTTTCCGAAACGACTGCACCATTTTACATTCCTACCAACAATGTATGAGCTTTCCAGCTTCTCATTCTTGCTAGCACAAGTGTTTTTTATTTTATCCATTCTAGTGGTTTTGAAGTGGTATCTCATCGTGGTTTTGATTTGCATTTCCCTACTGGCTAATAATGTTGAGCATGTTTTCACGTGCTTATGGCGCATTTGTATATCTTCTTTGGAGAAATGTCTATTCAAATCCTTTGCTCCTCTTTAAACTGGGAAGTTTCTCTTTATTGTTGAGTTGTAAGAGTTCCTTATATAGTCTAGGTACAAGTCCTTTATCAGGTATATACTTTGCAAAAGTTATCTTCTATCCTGTGGGTTATCTTTTCACTTTTTTGATGGTGTTCATTGAAGAACAAAAGTTTTAGTTTTGATAAAATCAATTTATCTTTTTCTTTTGTCTCTTGTGCTTTTGGTGTCATATCTTAGGAAACCATTGCCTAATCTAAAGTCGTGAAAATTTACTCTTATTTTTACTTTTAGGCATTTTATAGTTTTAGCTCCTATATTTAGGTCTATGATCCATTTTGAATTAATTTTTGTATATGGTGTGAGGTGGGGTGTGACTTCTTTTTAATGTCTTCTGTATGCCACCTAAGATTATCTCTTATTCCACCAGGAAACTCTGCTTTAATTAGTTGACTAATATTTGTTAAGGACCTCCTAAATACTGTGTTAGGTGTTTTAGAGGCCATGAGGATCCTCAAGCAGCTTACTATCTAATAGGAAAGAGGAAATACATTTACAGAAAAATCAGAATTATTAACATTCATCAGTAAACGATAATTGTCAAGAGGGTTCGTATAGATGAATGCTACAGACTTCAGAGAATGAAGGTGGCACTTTAAGTTTGGTTGATCTATGAAAGTTCCATCATGAAGGTGGAAGTTAAGGTATGATAAACTGAAAAGATTGGTTCAGTTGTTCAAGCAACAGATATTTATTGAGCACGATGTTCTGGGACTACAGCAGTGAGCAAAAAAGACAAAAATCTGTTTCTTTAGAGAGTGTCCCCTAGTGATAAATACTATGGTGAAAAAGTAGGAAAGGCTGGACTGCTGGTGGGGTAGGGATCACGGTTTTATAAAGAACGACCAGGGAAAACCTCACTCAGAGCACAGAGATGTTGGGCAAAACCTAAAGGAAGTGAGGGAGGGCACCGGGTATCTACCATGAGATAGTATACCAGAGGGATCAGTCAGTGCCGAGGCCACGATGGGGGGATGTGCCTGACACGGTCAGCGAATAGCAAAGAAGACCAGTATGGCCGGAACAGTGTGTGTGAAGGGGAGTGTGTAGGCTTCAAAACCGAAAAGGTATCAGGAGCCCAGAGTGTATAAGGCAGAGTAAAGATTCCAGCTTTTACTCTAAATGAAATGAGAAACCAGTGGAGAATTTTGAGCCTTATGTTTTAAAAAGATCCTTAAAAGGTGTCTTAAAAGGATCCCTCTGGGGTGGGAGTGGTAGAGGTGGTGAGAAGTGGCCAGATTCTGATATATTTTGGAGGTGTCATTAATAGGATTTCCTGACAGACTGGGTGTGGGATGTAAAACTCCAAGAATTTTGGCTTGACAGTTTCAAGGACGAAGGAGTGATGATTTGTCTCAAAAGCTGCTTTTAACCCTTTCATTACCATTGGCATAAATGGTTTGCCAGCCACTTCTTACGCTTCTGGACCTTGTAAGGTCGCACGTTATTCTGGTTCTCATACATTTAGCATCAAGGTGGGTCTGTTTTGAAATGCATGAAGCTCAGCTGACCAGAGTTGGAGTCTCATTGTTGGTGTAGGTTGAGCATTCTGTTAGGTGACATTTCTAGGATGTGTTAGTTTTGTAAACTTTTGCCTTTTTTTCCTTTATTTCTGTGAGATAAGGCTTGCAATTACAATTACAGCTTTTCTGTGTGATAGTTACGGAGCCCTGATGGGTTTGTTTTGGAAATGCGCCCATAGTAAATTATATCTCTAGTTCCCGTTGGCATACTGTCATGCCACCAATTGGTGGTGCCACAGTGCCACTAGTCTCACTGGCAGATTGTATTGCCAGATGGTATTTCTCAAAATCCGTACTGCCAACCAAAAATTTAAACACACTTGATTAGTAAGCATGCATTCCAAGACTGAAACACATGCCATCAAAAAAGATTTTTTTAATTAAAATTTGGTAATGAAAGGGTTTTAAATAAGATGAGGGGTAAGAATTGAACATTGGATTTATATATATAAGGTAGAAGTCACTGGTGATTAGGGCAAGCACAATTTTCTATTGGAGGCACAGTATGGAGAACATTTAAATGAAAGAAATTTGAACCTCATTCTGTACAGGATGATGACTAACCACTTGTGGTTTTGACCAGGGGAGTGTTATATTGTAAAGAGTGTCCTAAGATTAATCTGGTGGCAGTATGCAAAATTGATGAGAGAAAAAAGAAAATAGAAGTGTGAGTTAAGAGACCCATCATACTGTTCTAATCGGGGCCACAATACATGGACCTTGATAGAATGGGAGAAAAATGTGGAACAGAACCTCAAATTCCTTAAAACAAAACAAAACAAACAACCAGACTCATTGGACTGATTGAGATTGGCGGACTCTCTGAGACTGTTGCCCTAGGATACTCTTCAAACCAAGAACCAAAACTAACTCTTGAGGTCACCTTGTAGCTAAGTAACAAATTGGTTCAAAAAATAATGACTATCACTGTAAGTTCTGTGCTCTTTTAAAAACATACAGGAGACCAAAGAGTCAACAATTACTTTAAAAGAAAGATGAGAATGTAAGGGGACAGGGAAACTAGATTAATGAAAACAGAACAACCAGAACGGAAATAATGAGAATGTTCACGCATTGTGAAGAGTGTAACCAATGTCACTGAACAACTTGTATAGAAATTGTTGAATGGGAACCTAACCTGCTGTGTAAACCTTCACTAAAAACAAAATACTTTTAAGAAAAACCACCATAGTCGTTCACATATACGGGAATATATAATAATGAATGCCTCAGCTAGAATAGAGAGGAAGGGCTGATTGTGTCTGGCCTTAAGAGAATTAATATGATGACTGATTAAAGTCAGGTGGAGTGGAAAGAAAGGACTCTGATAGTGAGTCTGAAAGGCTAAATGAAGAATGGAGATAGGGAAAGTCAGGACAGGAAGCCAGTTTGGGAAAGATAAGCTCAGTCTTTGACTAATGAGTTCAAGATGACAAAAATATACCCAAGTGGAAACGTCAGTCAATTGGAGATATAGTTCTGGAGCTCTAAAATGCAGCCTGGTTGTGGACATCATTGCGGAAGTCACTCACAGAGGGGAGAGTTAAAGCAGTGGTGGAACACAAGTCCAGCACCTTTCCATGCCTGTCTCAGTGCAGACCCCGGGGTTCCCTAGGGTTTGTGCTGCCATCTGCTGGGAGCCCAGTTTTCCTTTCTGGGTATACTAGCTCTTGGGCGTGGCTCTTCCCTGCTTTCTGCAGCCCTCTTTGCTTAAACCAGTAGCAGCTCAATTTTATAGTTTTTAGTGTAAAAAATGGCCATGGGGAGAGAGGGTAATGGGGTGTGAATATTTACAATTGACAAATATTAATATCAGTTTAACTTAAATGTTTTAAAAATGTACTACATGGATTTTCTCAGACATCTTTGAATTCCTCCTCTACCTTTGTGGATCTCTGGAGATCAAAACAACCAAACCTGTTGCCATCAAGTCTGTTCTGACTCACAGCGACCCTATAGGACAGAGTAGAACTGCCCCCATAGGGTGTTCAAGGCTGTAGTCTTTACAGAAGCAGACTGCCATATCTTTCCCCGCAGAGTGACTGGTGGGTTCAAACCGCAGACCTTACGGAGTACTTAACCACTGTGCCACCAGGGCTCTGAGCTCTGGAGGAGGAGGTCCTTAAACATTTAGAGCCCCAAGTCCTCCACTTATCTTTCGTATCAAAACTTCATAGACACTGCAATCATCTCATTTTTTTCTGGCCTTTAGGAAATCCTGTCTTTCATTTTTCTGTTCCTAACTCTCATTGTTCCAGCCTAACTTCTGGTCACAAACCTGTATTGAAATTTTAAGCTTTTTCTCACCAGGGATCTCTTCGGTGGATAGGTTCTTACATGTTTTCATTGATTAACAGAGGCCAACTTCCTTTCCCACCTATCAGTCTTAGGGAATCCAACCTCCTCTCACATTTGGGTTCCGAAATGATGTTTACTGTCTCTTTCCGTCTTGTTTTCTAAGCTGTAATGTAAGTTTTTCTTGGTCAAGGCCTAGGTAGGATTCTGTAAGCCTTACTTCTAGCACATAGGGTTATGCTGTAGCTTCCTCTCACTTTTGAGTCACAACAGAATGAGGTCATACAGATTTTTCCATTCTCTCCTTTCTTAACCTTCCCTTACCAAATCCTGGGCAGGTCTTAAAAGAGTAGAAGTGTCTGGTCTACAATTAATATGTACATCTGCTTCTCTGCAGGCCCCTCCAGGCTGAATGGAGAGGACACCTCTCCCTCCCGGGAAGAAAGCTTACAGCTGAGCAGCATCCCACCCACGCCCACCCTCACCTCTACAGCTGTGAAGAGTAGACAGCCCCTGGGGGGGTTAGAAGAGGTGGAAGAAGAAGAGGGCTTAGAATCAGAGTTCACCCAAGGGTGAGGGCCAAGAAGAAAATCTGGTTTCTGTCTTCCCAGTTCGGTATCTTACCATCTCCAGCTTGTGACTCCTATTCTGTTGTTTCCTGCTATTAGCACTCTCCCGTTGTCTGATTCTTCCCTAATCCTTTTTTTTTTTTTAAATCTTTAAAGTTTGTTTCTCTCTACTCTTGAGTTTTTCTCCACTTTAACACTGACCACCTTACCTCCTCTTTTTACCCTTTACTCTTATTCCCTGTCACTGATCCTGCTTTGTTCTCAACAGTCAGCGCTTTTCAAACACCCAGCGGCTGAGGTACTCAGGTCCACAGCATTTCCGTACTCCACCCAACTCTTCAGGTCCTGGTCTGGGCAGTCGGCTGACCCGGTGAGCTTTCCCGTTGTCTTCCAGCTTCACTTCTAATCTGTCATCCTACCATGAGGGCATTCTCCCCTTACCCAGTGCTTCTGTGCCAGTGATCTTATGGACTTGTTTTAATCACAGAACACTTTCTTCCAATATTATGTGGGACCTGGTATGTATAGCGGATATAAGTAGAGTTGTACTGATTAAAGCAGGAGTGGGGACCTAGAGCCCTGCTCTATTTGCTGCCCACCCCTGCACCCCTGAGGTGCCTCTGAGGAACTCTCAGGAATCCTGAAACAGTTTGGAAACCTCTGCTCTTGCTACTGCCATCAGACTCAGCCTAATGGAAGAGGAAGAAGAGGAAGGACTAGCAGCTCAGGATGACTCAAGTGAAGAATGGCAAGAGACAGACAAGGTGAGAGGAGCCAACATTCCCTTGTCCTTCTAGAATGAGAGACAGGAAAGAGAAGGAGAGAAACTAGAATGATTCTCTTCTGGCAGTCATGATGGTGCCCAGGTCTTTGAAAGCTGCTTAGGGCTTTTTGAAAGGATCAGAGTAAAGGAGAGAAGTTTGTAAGCTTCTTTGGGTTTTGCTGTTTACTTTTGTTTAAAGTAAGGAAAAGAAAAAATACCAAAAAGAACTAGAATAGTACCCCTAATCCTTAAATAAATATTGTTACCTCTGAACCCCTAAGACTCCCCTAAGAATTGGAAGGAATCTTAGAGCTAGAGACAAACTCATCTAATCCAGCCTTGCAAATCCATTCAATAAGTCTCTTCACCACACAAATACACACACACACACACACACACACACACACACACACA